TCTGATAAACTATCTAATCCATAATAGTTATTAGCTAATTCAAGATATTCCATATGTGCTTCTGAAATAGTATTATTCTTCTTATTTTCTGTAAAAATTTGCATATCTTTAGTTCGCAGGTCAAAAAAAGCAGCAAGTCGAATAGGTTTTGTTAGTTCTGAGAATCGTTTCTGAATTAATTTGCTAAGAAGACTTCTGAATTTCTGAATATCAATGTTATTTATTATTGTATAATCAAGTTTTATTTTAATGAAATTAATCGCAAACTATGCTTGAGAAAGTGTTAGATATGTTGAACCTAATAATTTTTTTAAAATAATTTCGTAAGAATACAATAACTTAACTAACTCAGCTATTTTTTCCCATTTATCCAATAACAGCTTCTTTTCTTCGTAACTTCTTAGTGAACTATTATCATTAATTTCAACTAAAAAAAACTTATATTTATATATTGCTGGTTTAAGAGTTGTTAACCGTTTTAACATGTAAAATGTCGAGTTCTATCTAATTGAAACATCACGAACTACAAAAAGAAAGTTATCCTAGTCTTCCATCTCTATTTGAGCTTCTAAAAGAAATTGTTTCTGCTTAGAGCTTTCGCTAAAATGTGATACAATATCTTTATATTTTTTTATTAAATTAGTAATTTAGAGATACTCTTTTAATGTATCATTAATAGCTAGCTGTAAAGTATGACCAAAACAATAAATATTAAAAATGCCATATTTTCACTTTAATTTTTCTAAACACAATTTAATATTTAACCCATTATCAATTATACCGCTAACTGTAATATGTTTAAGCTGAAGATTATCCAAAATTTCAGTAATTTTATTAAAAAGACATTCAGAAGTATAGGGATATGAGAGGTACGAAATGTTACCAATCATTTCTTTTGCTTGAAAATTATCATTAACCCAGTGAAGAGTAAGACCAATATATGAATCACTATTACTCAACATTCACATATTAGTGGTAAATGAAATATAGCTAATTTCAGTACTATCAAGTGCATATTCACAGAGGTTCTGCAGAACCTTATGCTCGGAATTAATTAGAATTTCTTTCAAATGATCATAACCAAGCATGTTAGCTTGTACATTAAGCCCTTCAATTATTCTTTTAAATGCCCGAGATTGAATAATTGAAAATGGCTGTAGTTCTTCAACGATAAAAGTAGCTATATTTTAATCAAGATTTTTTTGTTTTGGGTTAGTAGGTGTATATTTTTTAGTTTTTTCGAACGTTTGCATTATTGTAGTTTGTGAAGATTCTGGCATTACAGAAAATTCACACTTATTATTTTTCTTTACAACAACCTTTACTTGACCAACTTCTATCATTGCTCATGAAATATGATACCTATTTCTCATATGATACTATAAATTCAATGTGGACCTATCCTTTATATATTTTACTCGTAGAGTACAAGATTTATGTTGGCAAAACCAATACTCTATATTATTAATTGACTTTGTCTCAAAAATAGTTTAACAGGACTACCGCCCAGTCTTTCAAATTTTTTTTGTTTTTTAACTAAAACTTGACTATTAGGTTATGATAACACAGAGTCTTCATTAACATCTGTATCATCAGATTCTGTTCTATTAAATCAACATTTTTAGGCTCTAACACCATATCAACTTTAGGTTCTAACGCCATATCATCTTCAGATTCTAACACCATATCATTTTCAGGTTCTAACACCATATCATCTAAATATTCTTCATCCATAATTTTTCTGCTTGGATAATTCAAAATCTGCAACCTTTGACGAATTAAATATTTTTTGAATACTATTAATAATTTAATATTATTTAGCAAATCTTATATATATATTGTTACGAGTGGTTCTTTATTAATCTGCAAATTTTTAGGTAGCAGAAGGTTTTTCACGGTTATTATTCAAGGCAC